TGCCAACTACTGGTCCTCCTGCCCCTCTCATTCTTATGTTCATACACACTCCATCATCCATTTTGGGGGGAGGTGTAATAAAGAGATGGAAATATGCTTCTACCTTTCCCTAAGCAAATGTGAATTTCTGCTCATGTGAAACTGACTTCAAGAACACAGTGGTTCTTGTTTCCTGATCTTAAAAGTAAGTATGCAAATGCGATCTAGCCTCCATCACAGAATGGCTTAATTTAGATCATTGTAGTAAGTTCTTTTGCCCAAAATTCTTGAAGGAATCTCATTCTACGTGGCAGCTATAAAGAAAAGCTGCTTGCTTAATTTGTTTTAGTGGTTAAAACTGATATGTGTTGTTAAACCTTGCTTTCTAGGAGCTATTTCCAGGCTCTTTTAACCTCATGCCTGGATTTCTGTCTCCTGGCTAAGTTGCCAGCTTGATGTTAAAGCACAGCTTTAATATCTTAGTTGAAAACACAAGTTCAGGAACCAGGCTGTCTAACTGGTTTTGAATTCTGGCTCTACCACTTACTACGTGTGTGTTCTTGGGCAAGTTAATGAATCTCTCCATATCTCAGTTTCCTCATCTGTAAAGTGGGCTAATAGATTTACCTTTAAAGCTGATGTCTGGTGCATAGGAAGGACTCAATATACATACAGTTCCTTATAGCTGGTTATTCTGGGCTTCAATTTCCATAAATGTTTTTCAGAACATGGTATGAAGACTGCCTACATCAGACTCCCTTTGGTAGTGTTAAAAGTAACAGATTTCTGGACCTTCTTTTAGACCCGAATCACATAATCTAGAGATGGGACCTGGACATCTGCATGTTTCCCACACACTTCTGTTTATTACCTCTACATTTTAACAGTTAAACCTCCAGGTTGAGAACTACTGTTTTAAATGATTTTTTAAGTCCCTTCTGGTCCGTCATTAACTTTTTTTTACTTTATTAATAGTAGTTATTCTACAGTGTTTATAATGGAGATATGAAGCTTGTCTTCACCCTCATTTTGTAGACATGGCTGCAGTTAGAGAGGGAGGATGACATAGCGTGCCCAACTACACACAGTGAATCAGTAACACTCCCAGAGCCTGGCTTCTCCAGTGCTCTTTACTTACTTAGTACCTTGCTTCCCCACCAGAGTGGACCCTGAGCTAGCCAACATGCAGGTGGGACGAGCATCCATTCTGAGGTGGGAGACCTGGACTGTGCCAACCATGGGTCCTTAGACAAGTCATGTCTCTTGTTTTCCCAGGTGGTATCTAAGCTTGCCAGACTTGGGAGTAGTAAGCGTGTGCCCTGTGGCCTAGCTCTGGCAAGGAAGATGAATAGTTTTGTGGCATTACTTTAATTGTGTATGTTCGTGCCTGAAGAACACAAGGTACTGCCTTTTCCCCCCCTTTTATTGCAAGTGCACTTGCTGGGAAGAGAGGGGATGGAGCATGAAAAAGCACCTGCCACAGGGGATGGCCATGCCACAGTCCTTTTTCCATTCTTCTCTTAGGATTTCGGGCCTGTATGTACATGCACCTGGTGTGTTTTTCTTTTCAAGAATTATCTTGTTTTATTTATTATTTTTAAAATTTTGCTATAGGGCATGTACACTTGCCAGAGAGAGAGAAAGTGAGAAAGCAAGTGGCCAGGTTCTGGACTCAAACTGCAGTTGACCATGTATGTCCAGCGCCCCAAGTACCACACCACCTGCTGGCCCTCTGGCATTTTTTTCAAGCCACTGGGTCTGGGACTTGAACTATGCAGTTGGCCATGTGGGATCCAACCACCTTAACCACCATACTACCAGCTGGCCCTAAGGTGCTGGCTTTTTAATTTGCTGTAGGGTACATGCTCTCACCAGAGAGAAACAGAGAAAGTGAGTCACCATGTCTAGGACATGTACTGTGGTTGGCCATGTGGGAGTACAGCATCTTAACCACCATGTCACCTGCTGGCCCTGGTTCTGGCTTTTTAACACTGTTTTGCAAACTGATCTTTTTTTTTTTTTTTCAAACTGATCTTTTGTAACCTCTCAAAACTCCTTACTTTCAGCTTCATCAAAATTAAAAGCTTGAGACCAGAAGATAATTTCTCACTTTCTCTATTTGCGTGCACTCACTCACACTCTCTCGCTCCGTCTCTAGTAAGCTCATGTGCCCTACAGCTAAATAAATAAACAAAATTAAAAGCTTTTGTATGTCAAAGGACACAATCAAGGAAATGAAAAGACAATCCACAGGGGGTTACTCTAAACTATGTAACATACACAGGGACTTGAAGAAGTTTACAGACAAATGTAATTATAGTACAATTTTATTTTGGTGCAAAAATATTTTGAAATCCATGTATAGTTTTTTCACTGTATGTGTTTTCCTTGAACTTTTTGAGGACACCTCATATGACCTTGGCATGAATAGTAACGAAGTAAGTAAAATGACGGTTGTGGTTAATATACATGTACTGACAATATGCAAGAGGGAATGAGATGAGAAATTGATGTTTTTATAGAAGACACATGTGCTTGCCAGAGAGCGATGGAAGGAAAGCGAGAAAGCACTCCCTAGTCACTCTGCAGTCCTCCTTTTCTCCATCCTGTGGGAATCTGGCGCACATGCACAGATGTGCCCCGCATGTTTTTCAGGCTACCAGGCCAGGATTTGAAGTGCATGGTCAGCCATGTGGGATCTAGCTCCCTTAATCTTCAGGGCATGGGTCAATTAGCAGCACTACCCATATCAGGTATCTGTCCGTCCACCCTGATTGGGGATTTGCTAGAAGGACTCAGCATACAATTGCATTCATGTGTAAGATTTAGTACAGTGAAACAGTACAGAGCAAAGTCAGCAAAGGAAAAAGGTACATGGGATGGAGTCAAGAGGAAACCAAGTGCAAGTTTCTGAGTCCTCTGCCAGTGGAATCTTCCAGGACAGGCTTCCTTCCTGCAGAGTGTTGTCCTGTGTGTGGAGCATTGTCTGCTGGAGAAGCCCACCAGACACTCAGTGCCTGGTTTTTGTTAGGGGCTGGTGAAGTGGGCACCCTCTGCCTGCCACATGCCAAAATTCCAAACCCCTGAAAAGTATTCAGCATAAATGACATTGTTCATATAAGCAGGCTCCATGAGTGACTGGAAAGTTGTGCATCAGTGGCGGGAACGGCACTAGCCAAGGGCCAGCCTTGGCAGCTGGCTTTTCCAAGGGTGGCGGTCTCAGGCCTATGTGAACTCTTCCTACACACTGCGCTTTGTGGTTTATCCTAGGAGGTTCCACATGAAATAAATGAACTTTTGCTTTGTTTTCTGTTACTACAAAAGAAAAACCATTTGTACTTAGTGTTGGCGGATATGAACAATGGAAAAAGAACTTGTAAAATGCCCTAGTAACAGTGAAGAGAACATGAGGAGTAGCATACATTGTCATTGATGAGCTGTTTTTGAGAACCATGGAAAGTAATAGAAAAATGAGCACTTATCAAGAACTGCTTTTTCTAAATGTTTCTTTGTCCTGTGATAGATACTGTCTAAAGTGGGCTAAGGTTTTTCATGCACACAAAATAAATGATGCTCCTATCACAAATTATTTTGTGGTTCATGTAATTCACGGGAGGTGTTCCTGTTTCACTTACTGGAGATTGCTTCTAGGGACCAGGCAGTAGAGTGGGAGTTGAGGCTATTTCAACACTTGCTGTAATGGCTGCTTCAGCTCTTGACCTGTGCGCTCCTCCCCACCATCCCAACAAATTGCTGAGAAATCATCCTCTGAACTTAGAGGACTGTTTATTTTCTCTGATGCACTGCAGGCAGTGAGGTATATCTGGGTCTCTATGAGATTATGGCTTTATTTTTTATTTTATTATTTTTTTTAAATTTGTTATAGGGCACGTGTGGTCACTGGAGAGAAAGAGAAAAAGTGAGACAGTACCCTTCAGAGGTGGCCACGCTGCATTCCTCTCCCCTCCATTCTCCTTTCAGGATTTTGAGTATTACACACTCAGTGTGTGTGGGTTGTTTTTTTTTTTTTTTTTTAAGCAGCTAGGTCCAAGACTTTTACCACACAGTTGGCCACGTGGAATCTGGCTACCTTAACTACCATGCCACGGACTGGCCCAGATTCTTCTTTTTAGAATGACCCAAGTTTTCAAATTATTTTATTCTGACTTTATTTCATAGGTAATTCAAATGTTATTGTGGATTTGGTTCTACAAGTGCATTGTTTTGCTTGTTCTTTGTGAAATGGAATTTATTTGACAATATAAATGAGCTCTTTGGCTATTGGGTTCAGTTTGAATTTTTAAAAGTGGATGTCATGTTTGATTAGTAGGCTAGCAGTCTGTAAGAATCAATATTGCAGCATTCACTTAGTCACTTTCTTTTTTCCTTAAGATTTTGCCATAGGGCACATGCGTTTGCCAGAGAGAGAGAGTGAGTCAGAGGAAAAGCAAGAAATCACCCCCCTAGGGGCCATGACCACGCTGCAATCCTTTCTCCTACATTCTGGGATTTGGGGCACACATGCATACATGCTTAGCATGAGTTTTAAGCCACCAGGTCTGGTACTTGAACCACGGTCAGACATGTGGGAATCCAGCACCTTCACCACCACACCCACCTGCTGGCCCCAAGCACTTATATTTGAGAAAATTTTTACTGAATAATATATTTACAGTATTTAAAAAGGCACATACTGAGAAGTCTCATTCCTTCCCATATTCCGTTCTTACAGGATATTTGGGTATACCATAGTTTAACGAGTCTTCTGTATATGAGCACTTGAGTTACCTCTGTTTTCTTTACCATTATAAATATGCTGTAGTGAGTAGCCTTCTGTGTTATTTCGTATGTGTGCAATTACATAATTCTCAGAAGTGGGAAATTGAACCCAGTGTTTTAAATTGACACGCACTCAATTACAGTTGTAGTAACATTTGAACTTCTACCAACAGTGTATAAATCAGTCACTTGACTCAGGTGGGCAGTGTTTGGGAAACTTTCTAGACCTCTGTAAATGAGAGATGCCGAAGCAGAGTTTGTCCAGTGTTACACAAGTAACTTATAATGGATGGGGTCTGGGACTCTGTACTTGAAAGTTCAGTATTCTTTCCCATAGATTCCACTGGGTTTGCTTCTTGAAGTTAAGACATGCTAGTAAAAGGTACAGGTTGTTAGCTAATAAGATACATTAAAGGAGACTCACCATTTTACTGGTATCTCAATTCACATAATTATATTTCCTGAGTTTTGTGGTCACAGAATGAAAAGATGAATGAATAACACTCTTTTCTATGCTCACATTTTGGTAAAAGGGGGTGGGATATGTGAGTTTACGCTCAGAGTCTGTAGCCCATGTAAGTATCCTGGTTGTGGACATTATAAATTTTTTATTTCTGTGCACAGAAACTGGCCACATCGGATGAGTACCACTTGATTGTAGCAACCTAGTCTCCTTTAGCCTGATTTCTAATTGTTTTATCTTTTAGCTCTCCAGCATCAACAAAATAAATATTACATGTTCTTGAGAAAGCTCTTAAGAAAGTAATTTATTTTCCTTTCAGTAAGATGCTAAATTTCTTTTTTTAAACAGACTTGTCACTTCCTATTTATTTATTTATTTATTTATTTATTTTGACCAGAGAGGGACAGAGTGTGAAAGAGAGAGGGAAAGTGAGAAAACAAGCCACCAGATCTGAGACTCGAACCACAGTCGGCCATGTAGGAGTCCAGCGTCCCCAACTACCACGCCACCTGCTGGCCCCAAGATGCCAAATTTCTTGATGTACAACTTTGCTATTTGTTTTGCAGTGGAAGATTGATGATAAGCCTGTGAAAATCGACAAATGGGATGGATCAGCTGTGAAAAATTCTTTGGATGATTCAGCTAAAAAGGTACTTTGTTGAGAAGGTCCTTAGCGTGTATACAACTGATGGCCCATCTTCTAGTGGATCCTCTTCTGTATCTCGGAGTGACCTTAGGTCTTAGTGTTAGAAATTAGTCTGAAAACAGTTTCTAAAATTCTCACATGATAAGTAGGGGAAAATGTATAAACCATGTTAGCTATCTCAAGAAAGCTGATAATTCATTGTTTTTGAGATTCGGTAACATGAGTGAGAGCTATTGAAGCAGAACACAGAAGGTTTAGGTAGAAGACAAGGCCTATCCATGATGAGACCTCTCTACTTGTGAAAGGAAGAGAAAATTGTAACTGTATCTTGTGAGGAAAGTTGAGCATTCAAACATTTTTTGAATATGTGGACCTGGAGAATGTTTTCTCTGGGATCCTTTATAAAGGATTGAATTGCGTGGTAAAATCCTAATTGGAGAGAACTACTTGGGTAATTAATATGATTCTTAACATAATTTTTATCTTAAAAATCAAGAATAAAAGCAGGGGGACCAGCAGATGGCATGATGTTTACATTGCTGGACTCCCATGTAGTTGACCACGGTTCGAGTGCCAGACCTGGTGGCTTAAACTCACAAGGCATGTGTGTATGCATGTCCAAGATCCCAAGAGGAGAATGGAGAAGGGATTGCGGTGTGGCTGTTCCCCCGGGGGGGTGATTTCTCATTTTCTGTCTCTCTGTCTCTGTCTTTCTGGTGAGCACACGTGCCCTATAGCATAAACCTCTCCAAAAAAAATTTTTTTTTTGAAGAATAAAAGCAGGTACTAATAAGGAAGCATTCTTGTTACATTGATTCATTGTTCTTCTTTCTAGGTACTTCTGGAAAAATACAAGTATGTGGAGAACTTTGGTCTAATTGACGGTCGCCTTACCATCTGTACAATCTCCTGTTTCTTTGCAATAGTGGCTTTGATTTGGGATTATATGCACCCCTTTCCAGAGTCCAAGCCTGTTTTGGCTTTATGCGTCATATCATATCCTTTACTTGTGCTCAAATTTGTTTTCGAGCAACTGTTGATTTATTTATTACCATAGGGCACGGGCATTTGCCTGAAAGGAGTGAGACAGAAAGATACAGAGAGACGGAAAGTGAGGAATTACCCTCCGGGGGATGGCCATGCCCCAATTCTTTCTCTGTTCTCCTCTTGGGATTTTGGGCATGCACACACATGCCCCATGTGATTTTCAAGCCACTGGGTCCAGGACTTGAACTGTGGTTAGACATGTGGTAGTCAATCTTAACCACCATGCCACCTGCTAGCCTCCTTGTGCAGCTTTTTGAACCTTCCATCAGGGTGTTCTGCCCAGGGCAGAGCTGACTGCTGATACTCCTTCCTGCTCCCTGCAAAAACGTAACATTTAGGGTCTGATAGTGTTAGAATTTTAACATTATGATGTGGCCTTGTAGCACAGTGATTAAGTGGTGTGTGAAAGGAGCCAGATCCCACATGAATCTCAGCCATGGCACCTTGATAAACATGTTGGGCACATGTGATAGAATGGAGAAAGGGGGATTGTAGCGTGACCAAGCCCTATGAGGGTGTCCATCTCTCTCATTCTGTTTCTCTTGCACCTGCACATGTGCCCTCTGGCCATTTTTTTTTCTTTTTCTTTTTTTTTTTTTTTTAAGAATTTAACATGAACTGTGGATATCTGTAAATTTCTGTAATAACCATTAATATTTTAGGTTTAATTAGGTTATTTTATGTGTGATTCACTTTACTTTATTAATCTAGAGGCTATTATAATCTTAATGTGAACACTTGTTAGCAAAACATACAATAATAGCTTTTTCTTTTTAAAGTTTTATTTTAATTTGACCAGAGAGGGACTAAGTGAGAGAGAGTGAGGGAGAGAGAAAGCAAGCCACCAGATCCAGGACTCAAACCATGGTCAGCCATGTGGGAGTCCAGTGCCTTTAACCACCACACTACCTGCTGGCCCCCAAGCTCTTATTTTCTAGCCCATAACTTTTTCTGTTAGACCTGGCTGCCTCAAACCACGTAATCCAGGATATTGGGGGGGGGGCTGATTTTGGGGGGGTTAAAATTTGTGTTAGGTTTCCTCCAAGCTGAGGGGCTGGATCAGAAGGTACGTATGGAGTATGAGGTACAGGTGTGGCTAACGTTGCAGTGTGATTAAGATCCTATTCTGGATCTAAGAATGAGGGTTTAAAGTCGAAGGTATTTGTGATCTGGGGCTAATAAGAACTTAAGTGTTTTGAGACTGTGTGACTGCTGCTTATTTTATAAATATGAATAATACATACTCAGAATTAGCATAGATTGAGAGATTTTATCATGCATTTGTTATGCAACAGTTCCCTTTTCCTTCTTTTCATGATAAACTTAGAATCATAGTTATACCCAGCTTGGTTATTTCTCAAGAAGTCAAATACAGAGATATTTTATTATACTATCATTACAAACATTGTGCAGGTTCATAGTAACAGTATTTTTGTGTGGTTCCCTCCCCATCAATCTGTACATACTGTTCTCCACTTCATTTTAAAAGTTTTTATTTATTCTGTGAGTGAGAGAGATGGAGAAGGGGCAGCACTTTAGCAGGATCCTTATGCCACAGTCTATCCCCAGCCTTCTCCAAGCTCCAGATTATGGGCACGCAGGGAAGTCTGTGGACTTGAACTGGGAACTTCTTATGTGAGAGTACCTTACAGAGGGTCACACTTTACCTCTGCACCACCTTTTGGCCTCTGCACTTTATTTTTAACTAAAAGGTATATTGGACATCCTTCCACATCAGTACACACAGCTCTACCTTATTATCTTCGTTTTATGTCAGAGTGTTGTGTGTGGAATGGTAGGGCCAGGGAAGGTACCTCCCAACAGGGCCTGGCCATGCCACAGGCCTCCAGTTCTTCATCCTGTCAGGATCCTGGGCAGTGCTTGCCAGTGCAGGAACTTGGACCCTAGTTGGCCGTGTGGGGTCAGGCCTCCTCTGTTCAGGACTTAATTGTTGCACCACAGAGCAGCCATTTACCTTATTCTTAAGGTCTAATCTATCATCAACTTACTGGTTGTTTAAAATAAATCATTCTGGTAGGCAGTTTATTTTTTAAAACAATGTTCCATTACTTGAAAGGATGTAAAAACCACTTTGGAAACTTACTTTAGAGAACGCGAACCATCTGTTGGGTGGTTGGGAAAGTCGTGACACATTTTTGCATAGAAAAACATTTTATTTATTTTTTAGAGGTTTTTGCTATAGGGCACATGAGCTCTCCAGAAAGACAGAGAGAGACAGAGAGACAGAAAGTGAGAAATCACCCCCTGGGGGGATGGCCACGCTGCAATCCCTTCTCCATTCTCTTTGGATCTTGGGCACACACACACAGGCGCCCAGTGTGAGTTTGAGCCACTGGGTCCGGAACTTGGACTGTGGTTGACTACATGGGAGTTCAGCGACATAGCCATTACGCCATCTCTGGTCCCAGAAAAACATTTTTAAAAATACATCTTGACTTTTCTGACAACCTAATAATACCCGCTATCTAATACCATAGGTCCTGGTCAATGTAATTATCTAAATTGATCCCAAATCATCGTCTCAAAAGTGTCAACAAGTGATTCTTTACTTTTTTCTATAATCAGAATAATCATCCTAATATGAATTTTTCACTGTTAAGGCATTTCAAAAGAGTATGTCATAGGTTCTGGATACAGTTCTCAGAAAAGTTTCAAAGAACACGTTTCAGAGCCAGCAAGTGGCATGGTGGACAGAGGCGCTAGATTCCCACATGGCTGACCAAGGTTTGAGTCCCAGACCTGACAGCTTGCTTTCCCTTTCTCTGTCTCTGTCTGGTCAAATTAAAAACTAATAACAATAAATGAATTAAATAAATAAATCTTTTTTTAAAAAAAGAACATGTTCGAACAGTCATGGCAACATTATTAAAAATAATACAGCCTCAGGACCAGCAGATGGTGTAATGATGGCGTCACATGACCGACCACTGTTTGAGTCCTAGACCTGGAGGCTTGAAACTCAAGCTCGGTGTGTGTGCACATGTGCCCAAAATCCCAAGAGGAGAATAGAGAAGAAGGGATTGCAGCATGGCTATCCCCTCTAGTGGGTGATTTCTCACTTTCTGTCTCTCCAGCAAGTGCATACTCCCAATAGCGAAAATCTTTCCCCAAAAATAATAATATAGCCTCCTAAGAGAACTGTCTCGATGGTACTTCATTTGTTTAAAATGAGATCCTCTCATTTTTGTAATAATGTCAGTTTCAAATATGCAGCCATGCATGGCTTCATAGTGACATACTCCAAGAAATGGATCTCTAGACCATTTTGTCATTGTGTGAACATCATAGAGTGTGCTTACACAAACCCAGCTGCATACCTAGGCTATATGGTACAGCCTGTATGCTCCTTAGGAGATCGCTGTCATATACAGCACATGACTAGTAGTAGTGACTTCCATTACAAATACCTTCTATGTACACACACACACACACACTCATCTTTTAAAAGTTTATGGAAAATACATGTTATGAAAAAATAATGCATGGATTATTTATTTTAGATTTTTGTTACAGGGTGTGTGTGCTCACCAGAGACAGAAAGAGAGAAATGATCCACCATGGGGAATGGCCAAGCTGCTGTCTCCTCTTGGGAACTTGGGCACGCATGCACACATACCCGACATGAATTTCAACGTGCTGGGTCTGGGATTCGAACTGCAGTTGACTGTGGGAGTCCAGTGACATAACTGTTATGCCATGTGTTCTCGGATTTTTTTTTTTTTTCACCAAAATAAAGTTGTACTTTAATTTCCTTTCCACAAACTTTTTTTTTAAGTCCATTCATTTTCTCCATAAGAGAGAGAGAGATACAAGTGCTCTCCCCAACAGGATCTCATGTCACAGTTCCCTCAGGCTTTCCAGCAGCTGAGAGTACGAGGATGCTTGTCTGGTATGCTATGGATCAGCTGGGGAACCAAACATGTGATCTTCTATGTGGATCTAGCCTAAACTGAATAGTGCATTACTATGCTACCACTGAGTTTTCCACAAATTTTCCGAAGTTTCCTTATCTCAAAACTATATGACAATTTTTAAAAGTATTATCCCCGTTTTAGAGGCAAGGATGGTAAGACTTGAGGCAGAAAGTAATTTGTTGTAGTTATGCTGCTTAAAAGCCAAGATTCCAAGTGTAGGACTGTCTCACTCCAAGCTCTATACACTTTGCACCATCCTTCCTGCATCTCCTATCCATAAAATTTGAATGACACAATATGCACAAAGCTCTTACGCCAATTTCTGACACACAGTAAGTGCTTAAATAGGTCATTGATAATGTCAAAGGCTGAATAGAAGTCTCTACATACCTGAGAAGTAATTGCTCTTAGAGTAAACTAATCTGAAGTTCTTTTTCTCTTCTAATGACCCTTGAAATTAGTCCACAGTTATTAGTTGTGTATTTCATAGAGAAGCATAGTTAGAACAGAGTTTTGACAAACTAGGTACCAAGATCTTTTTTGTGAACATGTCCTTGAACATAAAAGAAGAGAATTGGTTTATGCTCTGTATCTTTTTCTTTGCCTTCCACTTGGAGATGTTTGGAGAATTAGCCAGAGAGAGCTTGCTTCACTTGGTACATAAATATAAGGATGAAAGTACTAAATTCTTAAATGTTTTTGTAGCAAGACAAAAGCGACTGTCCTCTTTGACAGTATTGTGCGAGTTTATGTAGCTCCTGCTTGTCAGGTTGTGTTTGGTTTCTATGTTTGTACTTTTCCCTTAACTTTATTGAACCTATTTTGTGATGATGGGAATTCTGACCATTTACACCTCGTATAAGGAGAAGAGCATCTTTCTTGTGGCTCACCGGAAAGATCCCACAGGGATGGATCCTGATGATATTTGGCAGCTGTCTTCCAGTCTCAAAAGGTATGACTCTTCTCGCAGATTCTTAAAGCCGGTTACTGGATTTACCGTGGGTGGCGTTATCAACAATGGATTGCTCTGTGCCCGCTCTGCAGATCATAGTGCTAACCATGTAAAATGGAGAAAGGAGTGGGAATGATCCAGAAGGTTTTTCCTTGCACTGCCATTCTGTGATCGCGTTAGCACAGAAATGCTTCTGAGAATAAACTGTAGGTAAAGGTGCCTGTGGAAGAAAGATTCTCTGATTTCTTTGGCCAATTAGCTGAGACAATTAGAGTGCAGAACTACAAAGGTGAAAAGTGTGAGTAGTTATCTTTGAAGACCTTGTTAGCTTTTGTGCTTCCATAATCTCAACTACACTTCATGAATGCAGTAAGGGAGCCCTGGAGCATCACAGTCCGGTCTGTTTCTGACCAGTAGTGGTGTTACTGTGTAGCTGATATGCAAGTTCTTTGTAGATACCCAGACTTGGTTCATACTACGCCTCAGTCTCTTTCTAAGCTGTGTGACTTTATTTATTTTTTTTAATTTTTATTTTTGGTTGCCTCAGTCTCTTTCTAAGCTGTGTGACTTTTATTTATTTATTTTTTTTAATTTTTATTTTTGGAGAGGTTTTTGCTATAGGGCGCGTGCGCTCGCCAGACAGAGAGAGAGAGAGAGACAGAGAGACAGAAAGCAAGAAATCACCCCCCAGGGGGTATGGCCATGCTGCAATCCCTTCTCCTCCGTTCTCCTCTCGGGATCTTGAGCACACACGCACACGCACACGCGCCTGGCATGAGTTTTAAGGCACCGGGTCCGGTGTGTGAACCGCGGTCGACTACTTGGGAGTCCAGCGACATAGCCATTACGCTAACTGCTGGTCCCAGCTGTGTGAATTTTAATAAATCATGTAAGGTATCTCAGCTTCAGGGAGATTAAAAATGATTTCTCAGGAGAGTAAAGGATGACTATGTTGTTAGAAAGATGAGATGCAGTTGTAATAATAGCAAGCTATTGAGCATTTGTTGCACATTGGATATTATGCTAAATGCATTTTAAACCTAGAGTACCCATTTTATGGATAAAAGCACAGACTCTGGGCTAGTTCCATAGCACAGTAGCTTAAGCCCTGTGCCTGGTAAGCCAGATCCCAGCCACTTGAAAAACATGCTAAGCATGCGTGCGGTGTGTGCCTAAAATCTTAACAGAATGGAGAACTAGAGGAAAAATTATTGTGGTATGACTACACCCCGTGGGGGATGCTACCTCCCCCTGCCAAGTGCATGTACCTTCTAGCAATAAAATTTTTAAACTGCCATAATTTAAAAAAAAAACACAGGTCCAAAAAGTTAAATAAGGGCCTTATCGCCCAGAATTCCAGCCCAGGTTGAGCCCAGCATTTATGTTCTTTGTCACTATCCTAAAAATATACTCCATATTTCCTAGCACATAGTAGGCCCTCATATTCGAAGTACAGTTATTTGCATAGATGTAGGTAAGTATAGCATACGTACCAACTGACCTCTTCATTGCCAGCAGGAGATGCCTGTGCAGGAGGAGCAGACCTTCACCCTGATGTTGCAGCTTAGTTCTTTATTTCCTGGCAGGGTACCTAGCTGTTCCAACATAAATCTGCATCCTCTATCAGGCCACTGAGACAGAGTTGCTGAATTCTAAATCCTAGCACTATTTTTTCTTTAGGTTTTTGTCATAGGGCGCATGTCCTCGCCAGAGTGAGAGACAGAGAGGGAAAGTAAGAAATCACCCTCCCATAATCCCTTCTCCATTCTCTTGGAATTTTGGACATGCATGCACATGTGCCTGGCATGATTTTCAAGCCGTCGGATCTGGGCTCAAACCATGGTCAGTCATGTGGCAATCTAGCGTCTTCACCACCACACCACCTTCTGGCCCCCAGTATATGTCATTGTAATGGCTTTATTAAGTTACAGTTCACCTGCCGTACTATGCACCCATTTGAGTTGTACATCTCAGTTTTCTCATTTGGTTACAGGTTTTTATAGTCATTACCATGTTACTTTTAGAACATTTTCATCAGCTCAGAAAGAAGTCCTGTACTCTTTAGGTGTTACTGCCCTATTCCCCCTTCCTCCCAACCTCAGGCACCCACAAATCTATATATAGCCTTCCTTTCTACAGACTTTTTATCTGAATGGAAGCTTACAGGCAGTGGTCTTTTGTGTCTAGCTTCTTAGTGTAGTGTTTTCAAGGTAGATCCATGTTGTAGCATGTACCAGTTCTTTAATCATTTTTATGGTCAAATATATTCCATTGCACAGATATACCATGTTTTGTTTATCTGTTTGTCAGTTGACAGGCATTGTATTATTCCTACCTTTTGGCTATTAGGAATAACACTGCTATAAACTTTGTTTATAAGTTTTCATGTGGACATAAGTTTTCATGTGATATATCTAGGAGAATATTATTATTGTTTGAGGAATTGCCACAGTTTTCCCAAGTGGCTGCACCATTTTATAATCCCACTAGCAGTGTATATTTTTCCACATTTCTTGATGATATTGCCAGTTGCTATATTCTTACTGGGACCCAGCATATGATAAATGTGCTTATTTGAGTGTACTTGATCTGTTGCCCTGGCCATCTCTCTACCCTGGCCTTGTGGTGACTTGGAGGTTAATAGTGCCTGACTCTGGTGTCTTGTTCCATAGCTGCCAGGTCCTGCGATGTGAAAATGGCAATGGAAGGTTTCACACACCAGCTGCCATTGCTCACCTAGCACAAAATACGTGCTCTCTAGCATGTTCCTATGTAGTCCAAACTCTTAACACTCCAGCATACAAAGTCCTTGGACATCTGCCCCTTAGATACATCGCCAGTCCTCTTTTATGCCTCTTCCAAAGCATATTCTGGCCTGACCACAAAGGCACATGCTGTTTGATGCTGTGACTTGGCAGGCCTGGGGCACCTGGGTTTGATTCCCAGCTCACCCTAAAAGTGGGACATGGTGCTGCTCAGGAGGCTGAGGCAGGAGGACCATGAGTCATGGACAGCATGGGCAGTGTAGCGAGATCCTGTCAGAGAGGCAGGATCATGACAATAGCAAGATCCAGTCTTTAAAAAGTCTTTCTCTAGCAATATTGTGGAATTTGCAATTTGCCAAGTTCTTCTGGCCTCCTGACCATCCTACACCTTTATACCTAGTTATTTCTCTGACTAAACAATCGCCTAGCTAACTCCTTATCATCTTCTGAGAAGACTTCCCTGACATACCTTAGAATAGACTAGGTAATTCTAGGTTTTTGTTTGTTTTAGAGATTTTTGCCTTAGGACACTTGCACTCACCAGAGAGAGAGACAGAGACAGTGACAGGGAAAGTGAGAAACCCCCCCCCGGGGGGGTGGATGGCCATGCTATAGTTGCTTCTCCGTTCTCCTCCTGGGATCTTGAGCCTGCATGCACACATGGCTGGTGTGAGTTTCACGCCTCTGGGTCCAGGACATGAACTGTGGGAGTTCAGCGATGTGACCGCTACACCATCTGCTTGTCTCTATTTTTTTTTCTGTACAAAAATGCATCATGACTTTTCTGACGACCCAATAGAAATAGCATATTATTTTTTGAGAGAGAGATTTTTGCTATAGGACGTACACGCTCACTGGAGAGACAGAGACCGAGAGACAGAAAGAAGAAATCACCCTTCTGGGGGATGGCCACACCACAACCCCTTTTCTTCCATTCTCCTCTTGGGATTTTGGGCATGCACACACACATGCCCAGTGTGAATTTTAAGCCACTGGATCCAGGCCTCAAACTGTAGCCAATTATGTGGGAGTCTAGTGCTTTAACCACTCTGCCACCTGCTGGCCCCAGAAGTAATCATTATTTAAAGTTGTTGGGTTTTTTTCTTTTAGATTTTTGCCATAGAGCATATGCGCTCACCAGCGGTAGACAGAAAGTGAGAAATCACCCTTCCCTCCCAGGGAGGATAGCCACACCACATCCTTTCTCCTCCATTCTCCTCTTGGGCCATGCATGCACACGTGTGTACACATGCCTGATGTGACTTTCAAGCTGCCAGATCAGGACCCAAACTGTTGGTCACATGGGAGTCCGGTACCCCAACTACCATGCCACCTTCTGGCCAGATCTTGGGTACTCTAATGAGCGTTTAATGCTTACCCCATTACCCCTGGTCACAAGGAACTAAAATTATTTACTCATCTGTTTCTCATCGTAGCCACACTCCAGTGTGTGAGTTCTTTGACCATTTACTGTACACTAGATACCGGAGCCCAGGCAGTTTGCCACTGTTGGTCAGAACTTGAGGAAGTCTTTGAGGTGTTGAAAACAATTCAAGGACCTTCGCTACTAATTACCCACATTGGGAGTTACTGCCTAGACCGACAGTTTGTTGAACTGTGTTTGGAGTACTACTTTATTGTTGGTATTGTTCTCATCGTGACCACAATCTCTTTTTAAACATACAGAAATAGAGCCTCCAGACACTGCTTCATCTAAAGATAATCGTTTGATAACTATTGAAATGGACCCTTATAGACAGACAAAAACAAGGGTTTGTTGGAGGTAGGTAGGAGATGTCAGCCTTCCAGAGGTTGAGTCATTAAACTTGCTCGACTGGGTGGAAATAATAAAGGCCCACGAGGTACCTTAAGGTGTAGCTAAGTAATATCTGAAGTTCACATCGTAAAGCAGTTGGTATCCCTGGCCTGGGGTCAGAGCTAAAGAACCTAGAGCTAGATTGATTACAGAGTCCAAGCACCGAGCAGCCTGGAACTGGGGTGCATCCTTGAAAGCAAGCATTCTTCATTCACTCATAAAAATTTGATTGACCCATCAGGTGCCAGACTAAGAGTAGAAAACAAGACAAAAATTCATCCCTTCAGGAACCCTCCAGTCTAGTGAAGAACAGAAATACATAGACATCATTTCAATAGATACCTCATCGGTAGCATGGGAGCCTATCATTTGACCTAGTATATGATAAATATGCTTATTTGAGTTGAATATCGAATGATAGTGTTGATAAAGATCCTAGGTCTTTGTTTTATTTTTAAATGATGTATATATCCCTTATGTCACCAGTGCCCGATTTATCTGTGTTCTTTGGAAGCACTGTTGCTGAAGTGTTGCTGCTTGGAGCTGTCTGGTTGTTGACTTGTCACCTTTGCCTCATGCTTAGGTTTGATGACAAATACACCCTGAAGCTGACCTTCATCAGCGGGAGAACAAAGCAGCAGCGAGAAGCTGAGTTCACCAAGTCCATCGCAAAGTTTTTTGACCACAGCGGGACACTGGTCATGGATGCATATGAGCCTGAAATATCCAGGCTCCATGACAGTCTTGCTACAGAAAGAAAAATAAAGTAGCCGATTCTGAACACAGCCCACTTTCTGCTGGATCATGCTGAATTGCTGGGTTGGGGGAGGTGGGGGGAGAAGCAGAACTTACAATGGGTAAAGTAAGAACTGTTAAAAATGTCCCTGTTTTATCCTGCAACTTTAATCCCTTCTGGATAAGTAGGATTTTCTAGAACAGCTGTGAGGAGTTGTACTTCTGATGTCTAGCTGTAGCCTCCTTAGTCTGCCAAATGCATTCCAATTTGCTTTTCTGGAAAAGCATTTTGGCTCAAAGTCAAACAGCTTTTCCCTTTATATCTAGTACTCTATATAGGATAGCTTTGCCACGCAGCATCTGAAGACTTCGTTTTTAAAATTACCCTGTTGTTGACTGTGTTAATTTCTGCTTCAGCAGCTGTTTCGCAGAAGATTTCAGAATACACCTTCTTGCGTATGACAGCTTTTGTTCACACACCATTTTTGTGGGTGTGTGTATTTCTGACTGAGGGAGAATTAAAGAAAACATAGCTTTTTAATTTGTTTAAAACAGACCTTCTGCCTGTTACATTTTGTGCTCTGAACCAATTAAAGCAGCCAGTGGCGTTTTCAGTTTTATATCATCCATGTTTTCCACTAGCATACCCCTGTTGATTTGTTTGTGCCCTTTTATCGACTGCCATTTTCTAAAATTTTTTTCAATAAAAGGAAAGAAGATGTGAAAAAAATGGAGTCATGGTCTTGATCAAGGAACAGAACTGCAGAGGTTCACAGTCTTAACTGCTGTGGGTTTCTCTGGTTTCTAAGCCGTCATGGATCAGAGCCCCCAAGAACCTGTAGTCAGGAACCGTTGGCTCCAATGACAGCAGGGTCACTACGCACTTCATGCTAGGAAGCGCTCCAGGTGCTTTGTGCCTTAAATGCTGATGCTAACAACCATCCTAAGTGGTAGGCACTGCCATTATTCTCATTTTACAGAGGAGCAAAAATGAGACAAAAACTGATTATCACACAGTGAGAGCACTAGGATTTGAACCTGGGCAGTCTGACTCCAGAGTTTGTGTTCCTACATTCCAACAGTGGTCAGAGAACCAGGCCCTTGTCCAGATCCTATGACCTCTTTGGATACTTTCACCCCAGCCTGACAAAAGTGCAGTTCCCGCTGAGCCTGAGCCTCGTATCCAAACCTTTGTTCAGCTTACACATCACCTTTATCAAGTTTTCTGTGACTTGGGATGGGTGCCCTCACTAGCGCCACGTAGTGGGGGCTTGTGGAACAACAGAACTGGAGCTTAAATTCTGTACTCATGGTTCCTATAAGCCTTGGTAAGTCACAGAATTCTCTGAGCTTCCAGTTTTCTTTCTTTCTTTTTTTTTTTTGAGTAATCCTAATTCTGTGAGCTACTTAAAGGTTGTGAAAGTGTATAACCAGATCAATGTTTTTGTTTGTTTGTTTGTTTGTTTTTGCTATATAGTGCATACCCTTACCAAAGAGAGAGAGAGGGAAAGTGAAAAAATCAGCCCAAAGGGAATGGTCATGCCAGTCCCTTTTCCTACATTCACCTCGTGGGACTTTAAGCACACACACACACACACGTATCCGTAGTGATTTTTTTAAAATTAATTAATTAATTAATTTTAATCTGACCAGAGAGGGACAGAGTGAGAAAGAGAGAAAGTGAGAAAGGAAGCCACCAGGTCCAAAACTCGAACTGCTGTCGGCCACGTGGGAGTCCAGCGCCCTTAACCACCACGCCACCTGCCAGCCCCTCTGCGGTGATTTTTAAGCTGCTAGGTCTGGGACTGGAACCGTACAGTCAGTCATGTGAGATCCACACCATTTGCTGGCCCAGATAATTGCATTTTTATAATGAAAGGAGATTCTCATAAACGTATCCAATGTTTGTGGATATAGATAAAAACCCTCTCTACTATGACCTCTGAGAGCTTCATACCTATTGTACATTTTTATCTTCATGTGTGCTTTTATTGATTGATTGATTGATTAGCAAGTATTTTATGTATTTATTTGAGGCAGACATGAATGAACAGGAATACTTGGAGGATGATACTGATCATAAGCACTTTAACATATTCACAGTCCAGTCGGAATATTATAGTGCTATATAGTATAAACAGTTGTTCAGTGATATTTCCATTTATTTCACTTGCAGTAATACATTTTTTCCCTATTATATGTAATTGAACACGTATTTTGCTTTAAAATTTAACAGTCATGATGGGAGAAGCAATGGTTTATTTTTCTAATCAAGTGACCAAGCTGCTGAATTTTAAAGCCTCAACAAAAATGACAGTATATTCTTTTCATTTAACAATAAGACTTTCTAATTTGATTATCCTTGGTATATAATGATTTTGTTTCTCCAGTGGTTTCCATTTGCCACACAGTCGTGACTGACACTTGAACATGGTGACTACTGCTTTCGGGGGAGTCTATCAGATGAATCCTTCCAGCACAATGGCTGTTGGCACGCTCTCACTGCCAGTCCACCCATCTGGACCTCTCTATCGTGATTGGCCAAGGAGTCCTGTGGCTGCCAGGGATTCATTTTGCTGAATATGATATTCCTAAAATCTCATGGATATTCTCTGTGTCATCTTTAGATACTTTTTTTCTGGTTTTTTTTTTTTTGGAGAGGTTTTTGCCATAGGGCGCCTGTGCTTGCCAGACAGAGAGAGACAGAAAGTGAGAGTGAGAAATCCCCCCACCGAGGGATGTGGTCACGCCGCAATCCCTTCTCCATTCTCCTGTCGGGATATTGGGCATGCACGCAAATGCGCCCGGCGTGAGTTTTAAGCCACCGAGTCCAGGATGCGAACCGCGGTCGACTACGTGGGAGTCCAGTGACATAGCCATTACGCTAACTGCTGGTCCCATCTTTAGATACTTTTGTAAGCAGTGTTCTGAACAGGTGATCTCTTCAGGTTTTGCTTCTCTTGTTGTAAAGTCGGCCCCTCTGCAGTGCAAAAAGCATGTTTCTGTAAGTTTATTGTAGGTTTCGAGAAATTCCTTAAACTGGTTTATCTAATCAGATTCTAGTATCTGCAGCCATGTTCTTGTGGTATGTTTATTAGTCACCTTTTCTGATGCATGAGCTTCCTGGAAAAGTAGCTGTCTAACCTTTGCTTGAATGTCTCCAGTAAGGCCAGTTTTCTTACTTAGGCACAAGCCGTGGCATCTGACACCAGTACGAGGCTGGAGGACTGCACCCTGAGTGGAGTCTAGGAGCTGTGAGGGTCCAGGTTCAGGAGGGCCTTCATCTTATTTTTTTTACAAAAATTGAGTTATGTTGATTTATGTCCTGTAATTTGTTGTAAAAGAATTACTTAATTGTATTATCATTATTAGTAGTAGTATTTTAATTTGGTAAGAGGGCACATGTACTCCCCAGGGAAAGACAGAGGAAAAATGAAAAAGCAAGCCATCAGGTCTGGGTCTCAAACCACAGTCAGCTGTGTGGGAGTCCAGCACCTTAACCACACTACCTACTGGCCCCTTGTGATTTGTTTTTAAACTCTATTTTACTGGTACATTCCCTTTCAGTGTGCATATATCAGGCTCATTTTTAATAGCATAATATTCCACAGTATAAATATTTTTAATTTAACTTTCCTATTTTATTTTTTTAAGAGGTTTTGCCTTAGGGCATGTGTGCTCACCAGAAAGAAAGAGGAGACAGAAAAAGTGAGAAATCACTCCCTCTGGGGGGATGGCCATGCCACAATCCCTAGTCCATTTTCCTCCCCAGATCTTGGGTATGCATGCACATGCACCTGGCCTGATTTTCAAGCCACTAGGTCTGGGACTTGAACTGCAGTCGTCCCTGTGGGAGTCCAACTATGCCGTCTGCTGACCCAAAACTACTTACCTTTCAGGAGAAAATATGTTTTTTTAATTTGCCAGAAGGCAAGTGTAGGCACCAGAGAGAAAAATAGGTGGGGAGAAAGCGCCTCTCGTGAGACATGGTCGTACCTCCTTGTCTCTATGATTTCTCGGTCCTGTTAGGATTTGGGCACACGTACACACATGCGTGCATGCTCCCAGTTTGTTTTCCAAGCTTCTGGGGCCAGAATTTGAACTGTGCAGTTGGTCATGTGGGATTAATTCCCTTAACCACTAGCCGACAGGACCAACCTTTTCTTCAGTTTTTCACAACCTGAAGGGGAAATATGGTTAGGGAGTAGGGGAAAAACAGGCCCTCAAGTGAGAGACAAGAGACCTGGGTTGTTTCCATCTTTATTCAAATTCAAGAGATTGGGCAAGTTCTATTCCTTCTCTAGGGAGAAGTCTTAATACACTAACTGAAATGCATCCTTTTGAGATTATGGAGACTTCTTACCTCCCCCCAGAAATGCCCATATGTAAAACATCTCCAGAGCCAGCAAGTGGTGTGGTGGTTATAACACTGGACTCCCACATGGCTGACTATGGTTCGAGTCCCAGACCTGGTGGCTTGCTTTTTCATTTTTCCTCTCTCTCTGGTCAAATTAAAAAATAATAATAAATACAATAATTATTTTTAAAAGATTTATTTATTTTTAAATTTCTGCTACAGGGCATGTATGCTCACATGAGAGAGAGAGGAAGTGAGAAATCAAGCTGCTAGGTCCGGGATTCAAACCGTGGTCAGCCATGTGGAAATCCAGCACCTTCACTATCACACCATCTGCTGGTCTTAATAAAATAATTCTTTGAAATAAAAAGCCCTGTGATTATGAAGTCCCTGGTAGACTACATGGGAGTCCAGCGCCGTTACCATTCCGCCATCTGCTGGTCCTTGCACTGAGTGTTTTTAAGCTACTGGGTCTGAGACATAAGTGGTTCAGTCTCCTGCATGAGGTCCAGTCACCTTTACCACCATACCACCGGCTTGCCCAACTTTTGTGTATTTTTAGAATCAGCCCTTTCATCACTTGTTTCAGAACAGTTTTAGGAAAGGAGACACCGTCCCTCTGCATACACGCAGTCCCTTTGCATATTCACAAGCTTAATTTTTCTCCCCAGTCTAGAGCCCTCTCTCCTAACTCTACCTGATCTCCACCCCTGGCTAGTCCAGCTCCACATCCTCAGACTTCGTCTCCATTGGAACTCACCGGGGAAACATATTCATCCATTGATACAGATTTATTTACTATATTTTTAGATTTTTTGCCATAGGGCATATGCACTCACAGGAGATGGAGAGAGGGAAAGTGAGAAATCACCTCCCTGCAGTGATGGCCACAGCGCAGTTTCTTCTCGATTCTTCTCTAAGGGTTTTTAAACACACATGCACATGTGATCAGGGTGATTTTCAAGCTGCTGGGTCCAGGATTTGAACCATGGCCAATTGGCCACATGGGAATCCAGCACCTTAACTACCATACCACCTGCTGACCTGCTACTACAGATT